TTTTTCTCCACATGCCATTTTGTTTTTAATTGTGGGAATTTCACATCAAGTACCCTGATCACAATCCCTTCACTGTCCTGCCATGACCACCAAGCCCTCTTGCGTCTTCCCCAACTAAAGCCACAAAACCTATCCATCAATAAATAAATAATTTTAAAAAAGAAGTCTACTTTGTGTTATCTATATATTCACTGGAACTTATTCAAATTGTTAGTGCCCTGCCCCTTCAACACAGCTTATTTCAACATAGGTTATTTCACAACCTACACCTAACCTCAGACACTATCAGGTGTGGACAACTACTCTTAAGAGTCTCTGTCACAATTTTTTTTTTTTTTTACTTGTTTCGTTGGTATTTTAGACTGGAATTCTTGTGTGTTCTGGCTTTCCTGGGATTCACTCTGCAGACCAGGCTGACCTCAAACTGAGATATCGACCTGCCTCTGCCTATGGATTCCTGGGAATAAAAGCTGGGGTTCAGGAATCGAAATAGGCTGCCGAGAGTTGATGGAAGGTAACTGATGTTACAGATGACAGACAGTTCTGTAACCCTTTTGGGTTTTTGTTTGTTTGTGTGGGTATTTTGTTTGATTGTTTTTTGTTGCTTTGTTTTTGAGATAGGATGTTTCTGTGTAGCTCTGGATGTCCTGAGCTCGTGATCGAGAGCAGGCTGGCCTTGCACTCATGGAGATCTACCAACCTGTGTCTCCCTAATGCTGGCATTAAAGGCATGTGCCACCACCGTCTGACTCTGTCACACTTTTTAAAAATATTTATTTATTTATTATGAATACAGTATTCTGTCTGCATGTATCCCTGCAGGCCAGAAGAGGGCACGATATCTCTTTTCAGATGGTTGTGAGCCACCATGTGGTTGCTTGGTATTGAACCCTGTACCTCTGCATGTCAGTGCTATTAACCTCTGAGCCATCTCTCCAACCCCCTGTACCATTTTTAAGAGTTCTCTTTAGTGGCTTCCTTTCTATGTTGTTTTGGTTTTTAGGGGGTATGAGTTGTCATAAAAACCTTCCATGTCTGGCCCTGTCAACTCTGCATCTGCAGTCATCGATATCACTATCGCCACACAAGTAGTCCCCTTGCTCTTTAAGTCAGTGTGGGAATGGGCCATGAGTCTCCAATCAATTTCTGGGGACATCATAAGTCATGAGCACAGCCCTATGGTGCAGTGGACCACTGACAAAGACAAGGCCCTCATAGACTGTCCTGTTGACAGATATCAACATGGTCACATCAATATGGTACCCTTCCACAGCATGATCTACAGACATTGAGATGGCAGCTCAGACCAAGGATATTCCCATAGCATTTGATGAGCTCAGACAATAGACACCAACACAGGATGCAGTAGAACCCAGATGAGGCTCTTGTAGGCCCCTCTGCCCATGAATATCTCCATGGTTTCCTATGGCAGCACAGACCCCAGATCCACGTGGCCTTTGGTTATAACTCAGACCAAGAAAACAACACAGACCACAACTGAGGTAGGGCCTGGAATGTATATGGACCCTCCTCATGCAGTTTTCAGGCTTCTCCACAATGCTCTTGTAGGGAAGCCTCCTTACCTCTTCCAAGTATAAATCATTCATCACTCTGAGATGGAAAAGTAGTAACTGGAAGATTGTGCACATTCTGGATCTACGTAGTTGCCAAAAGTTTATGACATCTCCCTCATAATGGACTCTAGATTGCTTATGAGATGGAATATCCCTCATCAATGGGCAGCCTGAAGTAGCTTAGACCACACAGAGCATTGAATGAGCTCCTCATACTTCTGACAGGATGCCTGAAAGGCTGAGGCTAGGGTGACTCCATGTTACCTCAGTGAACTTGAAGGTCAATATCTCCAGGAATTACATGCAGGGCAGTTACAGAGCTGCTTCAAAGGAGTTGTATGTGGGTCTTCTGGATTTCCTCTTTTGTCTCATACCTGCAAGCACAGACAGTTGTCACAGGACGAGCATAGAGGCTTTACACTCAAATAAGGCTCAAGGAAAGACAGAAATAACACACAGAAAAATAATTTAGTTATGAGCCTTTTAACCCATGGTCCTTTCAATTCTACCCTTTTAAGATGAGGCTCTTATAGGCCCCTCTGCCCATGAATATCTGTTCATGGACACGTGACTGGTTGTGAGGGTTTGTGAGTATGTATGGGAAGATACCAATGTATCATGGAACGTGTGTGAATGTCACCATACCACCCTCTGGATTTCGTCCTGTCCTTCTGCCATGGAATATGGGGACTGACCCCAGGAGGAGGCAGGCTTGATAGCAAGCATTTTCACTCTGACACATACCTAGTCACCTTGCTCACACACACCTCCAGCCAGGTTCTACATATTTAACCTTCATTAGGCAAAGTGGCCAAAGTGTCTCTTTCTCCTGTTGGTGTCAGCTGATTGAGGTTTAGGGCTGAAACTCTCTGACCAGAAAAACTGTCAGGAGGGTACAATTACATCAAGGAGATAGAGGTGGATATTGAAGTTCCTGTCAATGACTTTCATATTTGGAGGTATGAAGATGAGCTGTGTTAGTGGAGACAGGGATCGATGGCCATGCTAAGGAACTGGACACCAATAGGCTGAGAAAACAGGTTAACCAAGAGAAAGGACAAATCCTGGCCTTGGCTTGAACCTATCTGAGTCCCACCTTCTGTGGTTTCCTATATCTGTCTTGGCCTTTAGGATAGGTTAGCATCAAGGCACTGCATACAGCACTCTTTAGAGATTACATGCTGGGTTCTTGTTTATGAGGCTGGGACTGGCGACAACAGCCCTTTACAAACACACACCTCAGGAGAAGGTAACACAAAGCAAGCCTCATGGTTGTAGGGTCTGGGGAATTGGCCCAGTTAATCAAGGGTTAACTCCTAAAGCCTCAGGTAGACTGACAAGCTCTGCAGAGGGCACTGGCCTAGAAGATGACTCCTGCAGAAGTTCATTAGGATAACAAAACTGGGAGGCTGGGATGAACCACTTCCTGCCTGCAGGGGCCCTGACCTGCAGATGGACTCCTCCATCACCACACTTCCCCATTAGCATCTTAGCAAATCCTAAAACAACAGAGCCCCATGGTATAGTCTCCTTTTCTAGGACAGAGTGCACAACTTCAGTCCTTTAGACTGAGGAACAATTGTCTTGTGAAGATGCCAGGCTGGATCCTTAATTTCCACATCACCTCCATTTACCCCCTTTTAACAGCATCTTCTGGTGCCAGGGATGTCTCTGGAGAGAGGAATGGCACTGACATGTCAGTCTGTTACAGAGGCTTCTCACCATCAGCTCAGAGGAGAGGGCAGGAGGACCAATCCCTGGTTCCTTTCAGTTTTCCTGAGGAGAATCCAGCAAGGTTCAGTTTCACTTTCCAGTTTCATTTTCTTGCTGGTGACATCAAGAACACATCACAGCTCACAAGGCTGTTTCCAAGCCTTTATATGACAGTCCAGGTGGTGAGAAAATCCACAAAGCAACAGAGTCACGGCAGGATTCTGAGTAGCCTTATCCTGTGTAAACCCAGACAGCTGTTGCCAGCTCCACAACAACCATGGGGTAAGGATTTTCCTGCTTTGCAGTTTGAGTCAACACAGGACACAGACATTTGTGTGTGACCAGGTCTGACTGAGTCTGCTTATATTCCTATGTCCTCTGGTTTCTCTTTATGCTGAAGAAGAGGGAACATGGATGCGAATTGTCCTGAAGGTCCAGGGATTTTTTTTTTAATGGCAGTTTTGTGGGCATGGGGCAGGATGGGAGAAAGGGAGCTTGCTTTAGTTTTTAAGTCTGTCTTATATGTTAGTTCAAAACATCTGGGAGAGACTTTAGCATGTTCATCTCACAAAAGAGAGAATTATCAATGAGTCCTATGGGATTGGACAAGGCACCAATCTACCCACCTCTGCAGCTTAAAAGAAATAGTTGTTGCTAATATTTTCCTCCTGCCCAGCTCCTGATCCCAAGGCCTTCATTGTCCTGGGATAAACTCAACTGACTCCAAGACATCTTGTGATGCTATTCAAGGTGTCTGTGACAGGTGATTTCTACCCATCCGTGTCTGGGTTAACCAATGCACAGGACATATTTTTTTCTGTTTCCCCAATGAGAGACAAAATTTGAAATTCTGCTACATTTGATGAGAGATTTTGAAGGCTTTCCGCAAGAAACTAAATTACTCAGGTATGTATATATATGCATGTATGTGTGTATATACATATATATGCATGTATATTTAAACACACATATACACATAACAGAGAGAAATAGTGACTTGGTGTGGAGTGTCATTTATGTAAATGTCTCTGACTTGTATGTTTGAAATTCCTTTCATGTTTAAAGTATCAATCAGTAGAGGTGGTTTCCCTTGCATGTAGTGCTCCAGTGATTGTCTCCACACTTTGGCAACTAATTGTGGGTCCTTGAAAATAAAATCATTCATAGTAAATGAGTATGGAAGAGGCTGAGAGCTTCTGTTATATGATGAGACAGAACACAGAGTTCACAACGGAAAAAAAAAAAAAAAACCTGTGGAACCAAGTTAACCAGAGAGCAGAAGGCAGTAAGGTCTGTCAGGTGACAGTCATGGTCATTGGGTCAGTGACCAAGCTGTGCCTGGGTCTCCAGTTCCCATCACTCCAGCAGGTGACTAGGACTGTGGTGTGCAAATGAGTGCTTGCAGTGTGAGAAAGGCTGGAGCTCTCCAACTGCATGGGGGATCCGGAGAAACCAGGTGGGCAGTGGGGACTGCCAGTGTTCATCTGCAAACAGGCTTGGTTCATGGTCACTAGTGATGCTTCCTTTATGGCCCCCAATCAAGCTAATCTCCTTAAGATCTGAAATGCCATGTGAAAGGAAGAAGGAAGTATCACAATTATTTTACTTGTAGACTTAGAATGGTGCTGGGCAGGTGGCTCAGTGGGTAAAGGGTTTGTTGCCTGGCCAGCATGAGGATTGCAATTTTGGTGCTATTACTGAGAGAAGAGCTGCAAACCACTTGGCTTTCCTTCTCAAAAACAAAAACAAAAACAAAAACAAAACAAAAAACCAAGCAGGTGAAGACTTGTGTCTAATGCTGTTCTCTGACCTTTATGTGCATGCCTTGGCATTAGTACTAAACACACACACACACACACACACACACACACACACACACACAATTTGAATGCCAGGTGAAAAAAGAGGAGTATAGAAAGAACAAGACTTAGAAAAAGGACTTAAAAGAAAGGTGTTTGCTGGTCACTATGACTGCTTTAATCTTTTGTATTTGCTTTTCCTTCATTCCCTTTAATTATTCTCCCACAGGATTTTTTGTTTCTTTTTGAGATTAAAAACTAATTACCTTTTTCCCTTTCCTTTCTCCTTTCAAGCCCCTCACATAGTAAGCTGCCTGCTCCACTGCAAATTTGACCTGCTTTTTTCATTAATTGTGTTTGAGTGCATGTATACATGAACAGACATACATATGTGTGTGTACATACACATATATTCCTAAGTGTTACCTGTCCTGTCCTTATAAGGTTTCCTGTTATGTGAGAGATGAAGGTTGAACATCTGGCACTGTAAACCAATGGCTGTGCTCTTCCCTGAGGAACACCACCTCTCCAACTCCAGCCCCATTGAATGTTCCTTGTTCTTTATGTATAGCTGAGGCTTCATGGGCTTTTCCCTGTCTTGTTTGGTGTGTTTCCTGTTCGTTGTCATCATTCTTATTCAGCTCACGTTTGGTCACTTTTATTGGTCAAATGTTGAAACGAGTTGGAGATGAATTCTATCTCTGGTCTTAAAGAAATGGCATTCAAAACTAATGAAAAGATTGTAAGATTCCCAAAATGGAAGTAACATCTATCCATCTGTTTCCTTAATAAGATGTGTAGTTCTGTAAAACCCAAAAGCCCCAGTCTCAAAGTACTTACTTCCAGAAGAATCCAGAAGTAACTTCTAAGACTCCCTACTTTTGCTGAAAAAGTCTCACCTTGCATTTCCTTATTTATCTCCTTTCCCAGAATGCCTTGAGACTAGGTTTGATCTGACATTTATAACTTGCTAAATTACAGAAAACAAAGTTCAGTCGTGTAAGCCACTGAGCCCATAGGATTTTCCTAGGCAGAAGGACTCAACCATGCCATCATGTTTTGTCTGGGGTCTTTTTGTAGCACCATCATCTGTGGCATATTTCCCTTTCTGTCTGACAGGGTTACTCATCCTGGCATCATATGTGTTGATTATTTTAGGTTATAGTGAGTCCAAATCTATGATATAAACATTTTGATTATCGGACCATCTTGGAGATGTTTTTAGCTTTCGGTCAGTCACACAAAGTTTCCTTTGAGTCCATGGTGTTGCATTCCAGTCTTGTAGAATCCAAAACTGGATTTCATGGACCATAGCTGTGGGTTTTCAGAAAGAACACTGATTTTGGGGTTATAAGTGGGAACTTAGCTGAAAGAAAGAAGACAAAGTTCTTGTAGTAGAAGTGAACCCAGAAGTGGGGGGCTATCTATGGTCCCCAGCACTTTAGTTATGGCATTATCTGGGTAGAGGCATGGGGGATAGGTGAGCTAGACAGCCCAACTGCCTGTCTTATGAGGTTTCTAGGTGACTGTCATCTTCTGTTTATCTACCTTTAGGTGCTCCCAGCTAGACTGCTCTTTTAGGGTAAATACCCAATAGAGTATCACACCTCCTGCCATTGTTCTTGGCATCTGAGCAAATCAAAGCCAAAGTCAGCAGCGTATTTAAGCACCATGGCATCTGTTGTCTGTAGCAGAGACAACTACCAACAGAACTAAGGGACTTTGTGTCTTGTAGCCATGACTGAAAGCCTCTTGCTGTGGGTTACCTACACAAAACCTGAGCAAATAAATTCTACCTCTTATTTTCAACACTGATAGAAATGAAGAAAACTTCCATGGAGTTTGTGGTGTATTTTATATTTATAACCTCACTAATGCCTGCAAATACCAGAAATGGGAAATACTAATGTCATTCCCATTTCACAGATGGGTATGCCATGATACTGAGGCATTAAGTGATATACACTTAGGAAGTGCTTGTAGTGCTCTATAAGAAGACAAGAAAATGCATGAAGTTTGTAAAAACATTTAAAAAGCCAGGGTTTGCATGTTACTACAGGAGAGGACAGTAAAGTTGTTCAGGCCCTAGAAGTCCACCACCAAATACACGCAGAGGTAAAGGGTCCAGAGAACAATCGTATCACTAGTGTCACAAGGCAGAGTCAGCCTTTTCCAACATCATACCAGATCCTTGTTTGTGTCTGAAATGAAAGCGCAGACACTGCGATGACTTTTCCTACATATTCAGTTTTTAAAGCATGGTCTGGTTCTATTTAGATCAGCTCAGCATGTGCTTTTACACACAGAGCTCAAAGACAGTGGGAAAGGAGGGAAGGTTTTTTAGGGTTCCTAACCTCAGCTCAGGAGTCTGCCATGTATGTATGTGTGTCTACGCCTGTGTGACCATGTCCAGTCTTGATTGAAATGATTAACTTAGCATCTAAGGTTCTAAGTCCTAGTGTGTGTACATGCATGCACAATGAGTCTCTGCCAGTTCAAATAAAAGGAGCAGAGGGATTGATGTGAACTAAATCAAGAACTTCTAAAGGAACAAAATGTCACAGTTTCAAGAAAAGACAAGAATGTTGTAAAATGTGGTTTGCTTGGAGTCAATTTCTGGTCATTTCTCACATGACAAACCATCCTGCTTCCTTCCTTGTCACAGAGACCATGCTGGTGGTGATCAGGTGAAGGAGAATCTGCTTCAGCTGAGGTGTCACTTCACATGGGGACTGCTGATTGAAGACGTTGACATACCTGATTTGGAAATGAGAATCCAGGAGGAGGTTCAGTTCCTAGACATCAAGAACCCAGCAGGGATGCACAACCTGCTGGCCTATGTGAGGCACCTGAAAGGCCAGCATGAGGAAGCCCTGGAGAGCGTGAAAGAAGCAGAAGCCCTGACCCAGAAGGAGAAGCTGGACAAGAGAAGCCTGGTGACCTGGGGCAACTGTGCCTGGGTGCATTACAACATGGACAGCTTGTCAGAAGCCCAGGCCTACCTGGACAAGGTGGAGAACACTTGCAAGGAATTCGCAAGTCCCTTCCGCTATAGGATGGAGTGTGCTGAGATAGACTGTGAGGAAGGCTGGGCCTTGCTGAAATGTGGAGGACAGAATTATAGACGAGCCATGGCCTGCTTTGTAAAGGCTCTGGAAATGGAGCCTGAAAACCCTGAATACAATACTGGCTATGCCGTTGCAGCCTATCGTGAAGACTTTGATGACCATAATTTTTCTCTAGAACCCCTCAGGAAGGCTGTCAGCTTAAATCCAGAAGATCCATATCTTAAAGTTTATCTTGCCCTGAAGCTTCAGGATGTGGGAGAAACACCTGAAGCAGAAACACACATTGAAGAAGCCCTCAGCAGCACATCCTGCCAAAATTATGTGTTTCGCTATGCAGCCAAGTATTACCGTAGGAAAGGCTGCATAGACAAGGCTCTCCATCTCCTACACAGGGCCTTACAGGCATCACCTGACTCTGGCTACCTGCATTACCAAATAGGTCTCTGCTACAGTAAACAAATGATCCAACTGAAGACATCCAGAAACCAGCAGCCCAGAAGCCAGGGCAATTTGCAGGAATTGGCAGAACAGGCCATTTGTGAATTTCAACAGACTTTGAAACTGAGGCCTACAGTTGAGATGGCTTATGTTTGCATGGCTGAAGCACAGGCAGAACTTCACCAATACGAAGAAGCAGAGGCAAACTTCCAGAAGGCACTGGACATGAAGAGCGTTAAGTGTCACATAGAGCAGGATATTCATTTCCGCTATGGCCGTTTCCAACAATTTCATCAGAAATCAGAAGACAAGGCGATCACCCACTACTTAAAAGGTCTAAAAATAGAAGAATCATCCTTTGCCCGAAGGAAACTTCTCAAAGCATTGGAGAAAGTGGTTGAAAGACGTGTTGACCACAATATTCGGCCTGTGGAGAGCATGGGCCTCCTTGGGTTAGTCCACAAACTGAAAGGGAACATGCAGGAGGCCCTGCTGTGCTATGAGAGGGCTCTGAGGCTCACTGGGGAAATGAACCCTGTGTTTTGAATGCAGCTCAACTCTGTGAAGTTAATGTAGGCATCACTGAGGCTTCTGCTCTCCTCCCTGATAGCTTTGTCCAGAACTACATAGCTTGCTGAAATGCCAAGTTCTAAATGTGTTAGCTCCTGCCACCTCTTTCTTATCCTCTCTGTCATGTCTAGAAGCAACTTCTGTCCCCACTACTCCTGTTCACTTAATGACCAGGACTGACTCCTGCTGTGAGCTAAAGGAGACAGAACACTTTTCCTTATGTCTGAATCTTGGGTAAGAAAGTCTTCCACCCTCTGCCTTCCAGTGTCATGGACAAAGAAATCTTCTCCAAAAGTTTTCTGTTTTAGGTTATCAGAAACTCTTACTACAGTACAATCTCAGATTAGAACAAATAGTAAAGGAGAGAGTTTGAAAGCAGGAGATATTTCACCTCACTGGTAAATTATTCACAGTAATAAGAATCTCATGTGTGGGCAAGAAAAGCAAAGGAAACTTTCTGGCACCTTACAGAGTGAAGAAGATATAAGGAGCTTTTTTCAATTTTTCTATGTCACTGATAATGTGTTATATGTGATGTTTTTTCCTCAACTAAAATAAATTCAATAAATTCTTGGGAATCACAAACCCTTTCTGTGTAAGTTGTCAATACAGTTCAAAAGAATACCCTTGAATCTGCTTAAGACCAAACTAAACTCCCCTAATATAGGTGACAATGGTGTGACTGGGATAATATATGAGGCCACTGGCAGTGGGTCCAAGATCTAACACTAATGTACAAACTGACTTAGTGGAGCCCATTCTCTATGGAGAGAAACCTTGCCAGTCTAGACACAGGCCTGTGGGGGTGGAGAAGACCCTTGGTCCTACCTCAAGGAGATGATAGAACAGATTTAGTAGACTTCCTAGGGGAGACCTTACCCACTCTCAGAAGCAGATGGGATGTGTGAGGGAATGAAGGAAGCAGGAAGAGAGGACGGTGGGGGAACTGGGATTGGAATGTAGAAAATCAACTAATAAAAAGAAAAGTTAATCTTTCAGTGTCCCTCAAGAAGGCCTGGGATAGCAGAAACACCTAACCGAAGTCTAGTGAGCAAGCAGGAAAGTAAGCTGTGCACCTAAAAGCTGGAATAGATGAAAATATGATGAAAGCATTTCAATCTACACAACATGGCATAGTGATGGTGACTGAAGCTACTTTGTACAAGAAAGTTGCAATTTCTCTTTAGGGATTATATTTGCTGCGAGCCTTTATCTTTTATTACAGAAGTAGCAATTAATATTCTAGGTATCAACTCCAGAATATTTGCTCCTACAAATATGGCTGTATATAGAATATATACTGGAAGAATTATATTCTCAAAAATGCCCCAGAGAAAGGAAATTCCTTCTCACGGGTCATCAGCAGTAACATCTGCAGCCCAATGTCATACTACAAAGCCTTAGTTTTCCCTTTGATAGAGTACTGAGAAGTCCCCTTTAATAATTAGTAGTACATATTCAAGTCATTTCTTACCTATGAGACCTGAGACACTTGCTCTTCTCAAGATCTAATCAGCATTCCTGGCTCTGAGAATTATTCATGCCCTGTTGTCAGAGAGTTATTAAATGTCCTGTGGATATAAAAACTAGAAGCCTTGTGGGATAGGTGGGACCTCAAGAGAGTTTTTACAAGAAACTGTAGGAAGGTCCCTCAATGAATGATTAGAAGGCACTTTCAGAGAATTTTTAGAAACAACTCTAGGAGAGTATTTAAGGAGAACTTTTGAAAGAGAAATTTAAAATTGCTTATAGAGGGAAAATAATTAAAGTTTAAGGAAACATCCTAGAGAGCTTTTGAGAGAGAACCTTTCTGAAGAAGTTTTTTTTGAATAATAAAGAGTCATATGAGGAACACATGTATGAGCCAGTTTATTTCTTTTTCCCCCTAAGACCAGATGTTTTTTAGCAAGCCCCAACCTGCCTGCTGTAAACCTCCTGCTGGGAAGCATGATATATACAGTTAGGGGTGGTCTTAGGCTTCTTTAGCCTGACACTTGTTAAAATTGTCTGGCTCACAAAAATGCCCCAGCTCCAGCTTGACTAAAGGTCAGAGAGTTCAATTCCACTCTTGTTCTCTCAAGGTGAAACAGCAGAATATTTGGCCTATAATGAGGAAGGAGCTTTGTAACCTGTGAGGTTACGATATGCTTTATTAGATAAATGCTAGCCAAACGCAAGTCAGAGCGGGCCAGGGGCGGCAAGGCAAGGAGGCCAGAGACAGGGGCTCCCATGTGCCTTGTCTGTCCCTTTAGACCCTATCAGGTGTCAACCTGACCTCACCTTGACCACGCCCTAATGGGCGTGGTCTGGCACACCTGTAGCAGAAGTGGCTTACACTGTCCCCTACAATTCTCCTTTTAGTCTAAAAGAAGATTAAAACTTAGTGTAAAGTATACAAAATTAACACTCATAATGGTGAAATACAAGAAGATGCAATAATCTGCATGACATATGCTAACTATGTATACATCAGCTAAAACCTAAATTCATCTGAAAAGAGGTGTCCAAGCCTGAATACCTTCTTCCAATCCCAACCATAAACAATAGTAAGATATCCCTAACAAGGCACATGGGAGCCCCTCTCTCTGACCTTCCTGCCTTGCTGCCCCTGGCACGCTCTGTCTTGCGGAACTCAAGCGTGTGGCAGAAAGATTTAACCTAACAGGCCTAAGGTGTCCAGCATTGGCCTATAATGAGGAAGGAGCTTTGTAACCTGTGAGGTTACGATATGCTTTATTAGATAAATGCCAGCCAAACGCAAGTCAGAGCGGGCCAGGGGCGGCAAGGCAAGGAGGCCAGAGATGAGTCCCCCTTTTCTGCTGACCTACACTGCCAAAGCTCAGGCACACTTCCTCTGCCTTTCTCTCTTTCTCTTTCTTCCTGCTGCTCATCTGTCCTGTCAGCTCTTTTGGGTTTTCCGTGCTCTTCTTCCTCACTCATAGTCTACTCCCTCTATTATTATCCTGAATCTTTTCATTTGCACAACTACATTGAAGAATCTTCATCAAGTTGAGTTTTGCCCTCCATGGCACTACAAGGGACAAGCATGGGTGACACAATTCATGTACACACATACACACACAAACACACACACACACACACACTATCACACACACACCAAAATTAATTAATGTGAAAAAGATTAAATTTATGATATTGAGAGAACAACTGTGCATTATGTTTTAAGCATCAGGAGGCAACTAATAAGGCCCCAATTATGTACTGAATGCAGAGTGTGTGTCCTTAGTTACCATAACTGTTCCAAATGTTATGAGGAAGTGTAAATTAAACGTAGGACAAAAGTGTCCAAACGTAACTTTTCATGGACTGAACATAAAAAGAGATGGAGCAACAGGTAAGTGAATGCCGTTCAATGGCCTCTTTTGTGCCTTTGATAGCTATGACCTTGGCAGGACAGAAAACATGGGATCACCCACAGCCACTGCCATGCTGTTTTCAACTATAATTACCCCAAATGGCACAGCAAATTCTGCAGTGCACGCTAATTCGACAGAAGGTCCAGAACACTGATATCAAGCTGGGCATGGGGATGGGGCTGTGACCTCTAGCTTATGGATTTGATGTAAAGGTGATAGGTAGCCAAGTCACTAAGACCTGCTCTGCCTGTGCCTCTGATGACAGATTTTAAAACAAAAGTGTTGACTTTGAATAATCCTGTGTGTTTTGTATTGGGCACCTTCACTAACACTGTGTATTGGACACATGTCAGCATACATGTGAAAACATCCCTTTGCACCCTCATGTCAATACAGCAAAGGTCATACAATTCTTTTCCCATGTCTCTTGTGCATTAGGAAGACACTGTGTATCGTCTTCTCTGGAGATTCACCAAGAACAATAGGTACAATAAAGGATGACACTGCATGTGGGGCCCCTTCCCATACCCTGAATGTGGACTGGAACCACTGCTGAGTCCCTTATCAACAGCCACACAATTTCAATTTTATACAGCTTGCCTAGGATCACAGAGTCCCTGGTTCAAATCCAGGTGCACATTACAATCCCCTGAGAATTCTGATTTGTTTGTTTGATGGATGGTCTTAAAACTCATTTTAATCAGATTCTGGGGTGAGTGCAGTTGGGCTGTACATGAGCCTGAACAGAATTGATTTAGATTGTCTTTCTAACTGATTCTAAAAGGTAGTGAGGATTAAAATGCCAGCACATTGCAATTGTTCCTTTTGATCCAGGGACTAGCAGAGGCGAAGTGGCCTCTCACCAAAGGTTATTCTCCTGCAGGTGCTTCGGATAATGGGGATGGGTACCACAGCCTATGCTGATACATCATTTCCTGAAGGTTTCCTTTTCTCCACCCCCTACTTATCTCTTCTCTATCCATGCCTGCACACACACACACACACACACACACACACACACACACACACACACACATACACACACACACACACTCACAAATACACATGCCTATAGGCACATACCCTCACTTACACTTTGCTATTTGTTTCTTCTCTCCTTTACACTGTCCAGTATCATAACATCATAAATGGTTTTATTTATTACAGAGAGTGGGGAAGAGTTGAAAGATCAGCCTGAGCCAAACCCCACAGAACCAGCACGAAATCACACCTCAGGAACAGGGCAAAACCCTTACCTGTCCCCTGCTTCCCTGGACTCTAGTGCTTTGGAAAATGAAGCATTCAGTACATTTCCATTAAAGAACTGAAGGCAATTGTTCTCAAATATGATGTTCTTTCCCACCCATGGACACAGATCATACTCTTTTACCCAGAACATGAGTCCATGACCTTTTAGGAGCTGTCCTAGTTATTGGTGTGTTTCCCTAAAGCAGCATTCTACCCACTGCAGGACAACTCTTTGGAGGTTATGTGATAAGCAAGGGATAAACTAGCAGGAGACTGTTAGTAGACAATGTTACAACACTCACTCTATACAGTTAAGGAATCAGAAATGAATTCCTTCCCATTCTTCTATATTTCACTTTTTAAAAGATACACCACATAATTGTTAAAGAAAGAATCACTTTTCACATAACAAGTGTGACCACTTACAATCGCATTAAGAGAAGGAACAGACAGCACCCATTATTGGGATGACCTCAGGGACCAAACCCTCCCCTGGTATTGAACTGAAGCTGCAGTTTTCTGTGTACAGGAGTTTGAATGAGCATGAAGCAAGTCCCGATGGACAAGCAGCATGTCTGCTGCTTCCATTCCACCTGAGTTTGACTTCTGACACACCTGCCCAGGGATGACAGTTGCTTGGGATTAGGCATTGTCCCTTTGTATGGCAGTTTTAAAATGTGTCTTTTTCTTATGAATGGTCAGTGACTTTGGTCTCCAAAAAGAAATGGCAGTAGACAGAATACCAGAAAATGGTGAAATTGTGTAACCATGCTCAAAAATGGATGGATGTGTCTAAGGAGGTCTAAGTAGGGCATGATGGGCAAATCTATAACACCCTCCTAAGGAGATGGAGAGGAGTAGAGTAGATGGATGGATGGAATGTAAGATACAGTGGGTGTTTAATAAACAGAAAGTAGCCTATGAAAGCTGATGCTGAGGATTACTTAGAAATCATTATCC